GGCCTCAGTGGGAATGCTGCAGGTTTTCAAAGCTGGAAAGCTGTTGCAGAAAGCTCAGTATCTACATAAACTTGCTTTCCAGCAGCAACAACCACAACAGCAGAAAGACAGCCTTTACCTCCCAAATCTCAAATGAAGAAATCTAATTGGTGGAACTGATCTTGTACTCAGAACCCTAGCTTCAGGGGTTTTAATTTCTCCAGGTAGCAAAGAATTTGAGGCAACCAGGTGAATGGATACATTTACTATGGTGGATGCATACTATGGAATACTCCTGCAGCTGATGGAAGCAACAAACTAGATGACCAGCTACATGGATTACACTGGTTTTTTATATATATTTTTTCCAGCTGCTAGCCTCTCCATATCTCCCCCCGCAACTCCCCCAATACCCTCCCCTACCCACCCCCACCCCAACATTCTGGCTGTGTTGCTGTAGCCGGGATTCTACAAACATTTCCCAGAATCCATTGCCAAATTTCCTGTTAGGGTCTGCCAATAGGATGCCCTAAAGAAAACCTGAAAGAGAGGAGACTTCATTCCTGTTTTCCAGTTGTCACATGTTCTCAGCTGCAGACATCTGGCTTCTACTAGCTAGTTCTGCACTCAACAAGCTTGCCACACATCTCAGAGATATTAGCAGCAGTCTGACTACCCACTTGGCAGTCTGAGATCAGTCATCCCTTGCTTTCCCACCCTCAGGGCCATGCCTTTCCTCAGAGTTTGTATAAGCACCAAGATACCCAGAGGGAGCTTCTCCCATAAAAGTCAATATCAGTCAAAGAAGGCCCCTTCTCTGAGCTCCTGGTTTCTGGTAATCACATCACCTCTTCCCTTTTGTTTTCCCAGGCCTTGGAATATTCTGATTTCTGCAGTTACTAATTTTTGAATTACAACAGCAACTTCTTTCTACTCTTTTAGTCTTCTAATACTTGTAATTAAGTCTCTGTATTAAAAGCCCTCCTCTTGAAATACTTAGTGTGGTTTCTATTTTCCTGACTGGGTCCTGACTGATAACATGAATGAATATTAAAAAACACAGTTGAGTGATTTTAAAAAGAAGACAAGATTTGTAGACAATACTCCATAGAAATAAAGCACACACAAAAAAGGAAACTTCACATTTAATAAGAATATCTGTATAAAAGAGGAAGTTAGAGTTTTTCAGTTGCCTAAGATCTTTGGATAACATATCGAAACTGATGACAAGAGGTGATAGGAACCAACACATTCCAAATAAAGGTACTAGATACATCCACATGAAGTTTATTCTAAGATAGTAAAGCTGATCCAGAAGACTGCTACACTTTCTATTGTATATGAGATTAGAAATAAAAGATTCATTGATGGGAATCTTTAGGAATAGGGATAACTTCTCCCTGCAAGACAAAGGAATAGTATGCTCCCTTCATTCTAGTAGAGCCCTCCTGAGTGAGGAGGGCTCCAACAGAACCATTTGTAGATATTAGTGTTTCCATGTGAGGGAGAGGCATTACATTCATTCAGCATTACATTCTCTAGATAAAGACTTGCTAAGCTCAGAAATGTACAGACCCATCTCCATTTGGCCACCAGAGTGGAATGTGGCACAGAGGATTCTTGGGAGAACATAACCTCAATCACTTATGAGGATCTGGAGCCATGTGAATTATAGAGACTGGCACTTCTCACATATATGAGTCAGGCTGGCTGGGACAAGGCAGTGTGAGAAAAGCAAGCTGCTGGCTGGGTTGCACTTATAGTTTGGCAGGACAAATATGTATGCATTTCCTGTGGGTTCCATGAAAGGTAACCAGTCTTGAGGGTTTGCTGGGACCATTCCCAGGAGGGCTGTGTACGAGGGTGAGGCACTTTAGCACAAGGAGGCTGTGGATACATTGTCAGGGTCAGGGGCTGAAGAGCTGAAGGGCAGTGTGGGCTGTGCATCAAAAAGAGGCAATCAAAGTCAGTTAGTGCTCCAGTCCTCATGGAGAGCTCCAGAGAACCCCAATAGCTCAAACAGGAGTCAACATTTAAATGCTTGTCTGCACAGAACACACCAATGGTACATTAATCACATAAGTTGAGACTTTATCCTCTAATATGCCCTCCCCCATTCCAATCCTAGAAGAGACAGAGGAGGTAAAGAATGAGTGAAATAATGACCATGTTCTCCCAAACCACTGAGGTAGAGGAACAGCAGCTTTAAACTGGATGAGCTGCTGGCAGGTCCCCGAGATGTGGCAAAGGGTGGGGATGAAAAACATACATACATATGTATGTATCTGTAATATTATATATTATACATATACTTGTTTTATTTATTTATTGAGACAGGATCTCAGTTACCCAGGCTGGAGTACAGTGGCACAACCATAGCTCACTACAGCCTGAAACTCCTGGGCTCAAGCAATCCTCCCACCTCAGCCTCCCTAGTAGCTGAGTAGCTCCCAAAAACATATTTAAAATGTTAATACTTTAGATTGGTTTCAGTCATGTTATAGGGAATAATGGAACTTATTTATACCAGAGTATTAACAATGTAGAAGGACCCTTGAAATGAAGCCAAAAAGATAGGGGCTGTGGCAATTAGGGAGACTTCCAAGAAGTCTAATACTAAGTAGGGCATCCCTGCTTAATCAATAACACTTCATTTTGTGACTGTGAGACAAGAAAACTACAGAGACCTCATCCCTAACATCCTTCAGCTCCTGAACCAATGCCAAGTCACCTAACTCCAGGTTATATGACAAAAAAATAATAATAATCTGCTTAGGACATTCTTTAGTGGGATTTGTTTTTCCGGTCACAGACACAATGACTGATTTTAAGAGTATCTCAACTCCCTATTGGGAGTATATGTTTTCCCCTGATTTGAAATTCATGGGACAAATAGAAAGTGTTGACTGGCATCTAGCAAGATAATTAAATATTTGAAACACCCTGAAGGAAACAAAGAGGGTATTGTGGTCAAGAGTAAGGTGGACAGGATACCATAGAAGATATATCCAGTGTATATAATAACTGCTAAAACACCCTCAAAACTCACGAGCAGAATGTAATCAGGTTTATTTTCTTGTTCAAAGTCCAACATGGATGTTCTTGGTCAAGTAGCTGTTACGGTCTAAATAGTAACTCAGATATTCAGACTTCTTCTATGCTATGACTCCAACACTGTCAAAACATGTGCTTCAAGGTTACCTTGAAGAGGAAGGAGGAAGAGAATATGGAAACGGCTCAGCCACCCTTTAACTGCCTTGGTCTAGTATTGAAACATCACTTCCACTCGTTTTCCACTGGTGAGAACTACTCACACATACCTAGTATGCATGGAACTGGGAAACGCAGTTTACCTGTGTCCATAAAGAGGACATTTCGGTGAGCATCTGGCCAGTTTCTTCCACAGAAGCAAAGGTAATAGTGGTATGAAGGAAGATGAAAATGAGCTCACTGGGGAAACAGTATTCAAGGAAGATGGAGCACGTGCAAAGACTCTCAGTACAAACAGTTTGGAAAGCTTGAGGAATAAAAAGCAAGTCTGTGTGGCTGGAGTTTTGTGAAAGGGGAGGAGTGGGTTAAGATGCAGATGGTGATGGTGATGGAGGCCTGGGCAAGATCACACAGGGCCTGAAGAGTTTGTCTTTTGTTCTCGAGGCAGTGAGAATCCATTGAAGGACTTTAAGCAGAGAAGTGACATAAGCTGATTTGCATTTTAAAAAGATCACATGGCTGTGTGGAAAATTACTTGCTTTGGGGACAGGAGTAGAAGCAATTAGACCAGTAAGGCAGTTACTGCAGGAGTTGGGTATCCTAAAACCAGATGGCTGGTCAGAGAATTCACCTGGATGAGAATTCACCTGGAAGGAGGATGACTTACGGATGAAAGGTTCTAATTACTGGTATCTGTGAAAAGCTGTAGAGAGTTTTGTGCAATTACATAAATGGTTGGGTTTGGAGCTGAGCGATGTCTCTGCCAAGATCATGTTGTTTATTTTAGAACTGTGTTCCCTTAGGACTATATTATGGGAACAGAAGCTGGAGCACACCAGTAACTGCAGAAGCAGTAACTAGTTATTCGGAGAACTCTAAAAGGGATGCTGAACAAGCATGAGGCACAGATAACCAAACCCAATTTTATTCTTGTCTCTTACCACCCCTCCAAATTTTAATCACTGGGAGGTACTCTCCCTGCTATGGAGAAAAGTTGCAGCTAGGTTGTGATGTTCTTGATAGTCCTGTGATCAGTTTAAGGAGCAAGCATCTCAATTAGAATGTCTAATCCTGTGTAACAATAATCTGCACCTGTTGCAGGTTTAAATCTTTTTTTCCCCTCCCAGCTCTGCCCCAGTTAAGTCTAGAAGCCTGCACTGGGAAAGGGAGGAGGGATTGGTATGCTCTTTGCTCTCCTCAGCTCCTCTCTACCTAATCACTGCTGATTGTTCTGGGCCCAAGTGATGAGGAGAGGTAAGGAGATAAATCAGTCTGGCCTGACTGGGTATTTCTGTGCCCTGTGGGCCTGGAAGATACTTCCTCTCCCCCATTCTCACTCTCAAATGATAAATTGGCTTCCTGCTTCCTGAAAAAAAAAAAAAAAAATCAAAGCAACCAGAAATGAACTTCTGGGGCCCTATCAGGAACTCTGGAAGAGGGTTTTCACAATGGAGCAACCTCTTACCACTCCCATTTACCTCAAACACGCCCTCCACATCACTCAGCAATCCTTACCCCACTACATTCTAAGTTCTCTCTCATCTCAACAGCACTCGACAGCTAACAACCTGCCCATCCTCCCATATTAAAAAAAAAAAAATCGGCTGGGCGTGGTGGCTCACGCCTGTAATCTCAGAACTTTGGGAGGCTGAGGCAGGCCGATCACTTGAGGTCAGGAGTTCGAGACCAGCCTGGCCAACATGGTGAAAACCCGTCTTTACTAAAAATACAAAAATTAGCTGGGCATGGTGACTTCAGCCTGTATTCCCAGCTACTCGGGAGGCTGAGGCAGGAGAATCGCTTGAACCAGGAGGCAGAGGTTTCAGTGACCCAAGATCATGCCACTGCATTCTAGCCTGGGCCACAGAGCAAGACTCTGTCTTAAAAAAAATAATAACAATAACTCTCCTGGTTTTACTCCTACATCTCTGGGTGAACCTTCTCCTCTTCCATCACCTTTACTGGTTCATTTTCCTTTATCCATCCATGACAGGTTCCTCATTTTATTCTGAGCCATTTTCTCTTCTTATTGTCTTACCCTGAATATCTCATCTATTCTGACTTTAATTACCACGTCTAGGCTGCTGATTCCCAGACCCCTAGTACAGATCTCACGCATGTCCCACTTCTTGAAATCCAACACTCTGAATGGCATCACCAGCCTACCCACAGTTGCTCAAGCCAGAACCCTGGAACTTACTTCAGATTCCTCTCTTACCATCCTCGGCATCCCACCAATTCTACCTAATGAAGTTCTCCTGTCTGCCTACTTCTTCCATCATGACTAGTCAACAGTGCCCTCATCTTGTGCCCTAGAACCTGGGTTTCTATAACACCCCTGTTCTCATCCATCCCACTCAGCTGGACCCTGTCATTCCTTATCTCTCCCTAGGTGAATAAGTACACTGGCTATATCTCAAATGACAAGCTTTGGGAATATAAAGATGAATACGGCTTGAGAAAACTACAGCCAAATGCACAAACGAATCACAATGCAATATTTAGAAGCTGAAGTAGCACTCTTCACATAGTACTTTGAGAGTACAGATGAAGAATTGATTTTGCTTTGGGAGTAGAATAGGAAACAACTAGGTTATTTGGAAAGGTGAGCAAATTGCCAGTCAGATGAGTATTCAGCAGAAAGAACAGTATGTGTAGAGGCACTGTGCAGTGCCTGTTTAATGATTCACAGCCCAGCCTCCAAACATGCCCTCTGGCCTACAGCCTGTTTCAAAACCTCCATCCCCTTATTAAAGGCATTCAACTGGCTTTAGGGCCATAGAACCTATGATCTCCCGAGGGGTACTGTCAGGTATTCCTGGAAGCAAGTACAAGAGGCCATATCTTTACACCTAGACACATGGCAGATATCTTCTCGGGGAGGCCTAGAATCTATCATTCAAACTCACCTTCCCTCAGCACCTTGCCTTTAGCTTTCCCAGGACATGCTGATCTGATTCCACTGCAAGGCAGAAACAATGGACAGACTCTTCCACCAATGAACAGCCCAATGCCCCGAACCCCACACGGCATCAACAAGTTGTTTACGAACAGAGACCCAGCTCCCTCACTACCCCTCTAAGGACAGAAGCTCAGAATCTATTAAGAGTCATTAAATAGCCTATGAAGTAAGCCTGCTGAAAGGCCTAGCCTCTCCCAGAGGCTTCCTTAGTCAACAAATCCATTCTTTACCCCTCAGCCTCCAACTAGCCTAGGGAACATCTTCAAAAAACAATAAGGCTTACAACATATAATAGTCATAGCTAGTTTACTGAGCACCTCCTATGTTCCCAGCCCTGGCTACAAATTTCCCCAGTTAATCCACACAACCACCTTGCAAGACAGAAATTCTACCATTTTCCAAATGAGGAATGTGATACACAGAGATTAAATGACTTTAAGTGCCTCTAGGTAGCAGGCCAGGAATTAAATCCAGGTCTACCTGATTCCAAATATCCGTGCTCTCAGCCATAAACATTCCAAAGTCCCACAGGATAATACGTGTTGGGAGTGCCTTGATGCTATATGGTTCCAAAGATGGAGATGAGGGGAGAGGGGAAAGATAAACCACTAGAAATGCTCAGTACAGGGACATCCAAACAGTCTCAAGTTAGTGGCTCAGACTGACGTGTTGAGCCAGGATGTTGGCGGACTACCAGTTGCCTCAGAGTCAAGCAGCAACAGCTGCCTGTCTGCAACCATAAAGGCCTGGGCAAACTGAAGCTGAAGGAGCAGAAACTATGAGTGAGCAGAGGAAGCTTATCTGTAGACAGATCAGATGACAGCAGAGTGGAGATAGCAGGACAGAAAGGCCATGTGGCTTCTTACTTGGAAAGAGAAGCCAAACCTAAAGATGCCTTGAATTCCAAACCATCTAATTTTCATGACACCTAAAGTGTCATGAAACAGACAGATATCCCCATGTTCTCACAATAAACTCTTTATCGTTTAGCTAGCCCCAGTGACTTTATGCATATTAGAACCAAGAAGGCTTCAGGACAGCAAGTCTGAGAGGTTTTTTTTTTTTTTTTTGAGACAAAGTCTCGCTCTGTCACCCAGGCTGGAGTGCAGTGGCTCAATCTCAGCTCACTGCAAGCTCTGCTTCCCAGGTTCACGCCATTCTCCTGCCTCAGCCTCCCAAATAGTTGGGACTACAGGCGCCCGCCACCAAGCCCGGCTAATTTTTGTTATTTTCAGTAGAGACGGGGTTTCACCATGTTACCCAGGAGGATGGTCTTGATCTCCTGACCTCGTGATCCACCTGCCTTGGCCTCCCAAAGTGCTGGGATTACAGGCATGAGCCAACGTGCCCGGCTGAGTCAGAGGTTTTATCACACTTTGTCCTCGGGGTCCACCAGGAACCAGGTCTTGGCTTATAGCCAGGCTGGAAATAGTCTTCACAGTTCTGAGCCTGGAGTTTGAGCTCTGCCTCCCCTTTCAAGGAAGATCCAGAGGTCACCTGCGCTTGTAGAGACATGGATGAAGCTTCAGGCCTGAAAGTTGAGCCTTGGGTCCTACCTGAGGGGGCCCAGTCTTTTGGAAATCAAACAGGAAGAAATGGCTGTTGGTCAGGTCCTAGGGGCAGAAAAGACCCAGTGAGAACCAAATCCTCATCCCAACTCCTTAAAACACCTCCCTCTATGTACTGCCTCTGCTCAGAAAGCTTCCCAGGGCTCCCACCTCCGTTGGGGAGCAAAATGTCTGTTCCTGTGCATGAAGCCTCCTTTCTGAACACCAGTATCCTGAAAAGGGCCACATGAGACAAAAACAGGTATAGACTTCTTGGGGTCCTCACCTTGGAGACAATCTTGAAGCCCAGCTTGGTCACAGCCCGAAGAAAGGTCCGAACATCCTCAAAGCGGCTGCTGACCTCAGCCACTTTCAGGAGACCCCTGAGAAGGACAGAAAGTTCTGTGTAAATGCACAGACCCATGCATGCACACATACATACATACATCTGTGTCCTGGGGGCTCTTACCCTGGCTTCAGTACTCGATTTGCCTCCTCTAAGAAGTCCCTGATGTTGGTTCCCATCAGTGAAAGGCAAAACACAGCCACATCCACAGACTCATCCTCCAGAGGAACCTGTGGAGAGTGAGAGTCTTGTATATAGCACACAGTGCAGAAGAAGAAAGCCAGCACTGAGACACCAGGATGGGAAAGGGGAAGGAAGGGTTAGAGATTAGCATACGGAGGTTGGGCCTAGAGCACAAGCCAGATAACATATAAGTTTACCTGGGCCATGTCACACACAGTGACCCGAGGATCCAGAGAAGCCAAGTCAAAGCAATGCACAGGGTTCCGGATGCTTGAAGCCAAGCGGCAATCTCCACAGCCGAAGTCAGCCACCACTAGGGATGCAGGCCTGAGAGTGGAAGGCAAGGGTCACATATTGGTCTGATCTGAGCCTATTACTGACCCACCACATGGCTTCTCACAGTGCCTGACCCCCATTCACCGCTGGCGAAGATCCCTGGCGATGCCGTCCACTGGCTGCAGTGGCCACTTCTTCACCTGGCTCTGGAAGCCGCGGTGGTAGACAAGAAAAGCCTCAGGGTCTTCCTGGAAGAGACGCTGTGCAGCACTGCTGGGCCCTGAGTACAGCTGTTCATTGAGGTAGCGAAATCGGGCGCCATCCAGCCGCTGTGCCATGCGGGCTCGCAAATCCGCTGCCCGAGCCTCATGGCTGTCTGTCCTGGAAACAGCAGGCACCTCTGTCTTCTCTGTGGGGGCCTCAGCTGGAGCCTGGCCTGGCACCTGAGGTGGCCGAAACTTGTTCTTATGTCTTCTTTTGTTCTTTTGCCGGTTCCGCCACTGCTTGCGGCTTAATGTACGAGGGGGTTTAGGGGAAATGGACCCAGGGCTTTGCTTCGGTGGATCATTTGTAGTACTACCCTTCCAGGCTTTGGGACCTGCAGGGAGGGAGATGGGAAGGTGCACCTGAGGCAAAATCTCTTACATTCAGGTCATGGCAAGTCATCCCAGCCATACCTCTGTCTTTGAAACAGTGACTGTGGCCTGCATAAAAGTACTTCTTATTGCCTGAGTACACCATTAACCTCAATCCTAATGGCAGTCAATAACCTCTGTTGTATGTAGAATCAGTTGACCTACTCCCTACCCCCGCCCCGACACACAGACATATACACATCCAATGGTACCTGTTTGGTCAACACCATCCAGGTGCTGGGCTGAATTTATAGGGGCATGTTTCTGGCACTTCCTCTTTCTTTTCTCTTTTTCAGCAGAGTCACTGCCAACAAGAGCCTGTTTGTGGCATTTCTTCTTCCTTTCCACTTCTTCCTCAGAGTCACTGCAAGGTGGGCCCTGTTTTTCACATTTCTTCCTCCCTTTCTTCCCTACTTCAACAGAGGCACTGGCAAACGATGCCTTTTGGGGGCATTTCTTCTTCCTTTCCTCCTCGTCCTCCTCAGAGTCACTGCTAGGTAGGCTGGGGGGATGCTGGGAAAGAGATGCTGCCTCTAGGGCCCGTAATGTGGCCAAGAGCTGGCGGCACTTGGAGCCCTGGGGGAAAACAAGGGGTGACAGTGGGCCTAAAGAGAATGGATGAGGCCTGGAGAATAAGAAGGGAGAGATGTCGACCTGATTCAGACTAGCAGAAGCAGCTGAATTCTTCCCAGTCAAGCCTGCCAGAACCCAGAAGAACTTTCACGTCACCACCCCAACTTCTGGGAAGCTGGAGAGCAGAGAAACCACCTATCCCACTTTCTTCAATGTGTAAATGAGTTAATAGAGGTTTTCCCAAAGGAAAGTGCTAAGGCCACAAGCAACAAGACCAAGGCCAGAGACCAGGAGTTCCAACCCTTCACCTTGAGCTTTTGCCTCCAGTTGATACATTCCCAAAAGAGGTAAGGAGGTTTCTGAACAGGAGGTACATGATCACACACGTATATTAAATATTTAACATGTCTCTAGCTGCAGTGTAGAAAAAAAACGGAAGGGGAGAAATTGCAGAGAGGCCAGCGGCTTGGACAATGGTAATGGGGCTAGGGGATGAAAAAAGAGGAAACAAAGTAGGTCGATTCCAAGTTGGAGGCAGACTGAAGCCTAAGAAAAGCCTGAGGAAGTACGGCCCTCACATCTGAGAGGCTCAAAGGAGAAGGTGTACTGTCGAGAAGGCTGATTCTGTGTTGCAGTCCTACTGGGTAATCCTAGGCCAGGCACTTACCTTGATTCTAAGTTTCCCACACCCTCCCTTGAACAATGATACTGACAACTCTTACTTTCTCCAATCCATTCTCCACACTGTAACCAATGACCCTTTCAAAATACAAATCTGAAGAAATAATTCCATTGCTTAAAACCTTTCATTGGCTTCTAATATATGCAAAACTTCTAATCTACCTCTTGAACTTGAACAGCATCCCTTCTCATTTACTCTGTATTCCAACCACAAGGATCACTTGTGTGTGTGACTCTAACAGAACATGCTGTCTTGCCCCAGGGCCCTTGTACGTACTTTTCCCTGTCTGAAGAACCCTCTTCGCTTCCCCAGCTTCTACTCAACAACTCTCTCTGACCCAACGTCAGTTTCTTTTGGAAATTCTCGGATCTTTAGATCAGGACTCGCCCTCAACGGTGCCACAGGTGTCCCTCCCTGCAATACACACAGCGCTGGGATCCACCAGCGTCTGCTTCGCGGCCTGAAACAGCTCCCATCGCCTCTGAGGGTCACTCACTTTGTTTTGCAAGGCGGCCGCAGGAGGAGGTCGTGAGATTACGGGCCCGAGGCCCGCGGCTACTGGGGCCGCCGAGGCCCACTCAGGCTCTTCGAACATGAGGGACCGGAGGGCAGGGTCGCGGAGTCCCCGATCTTCTCCACGTGCAGAGCTCTTCTCTGGGAGTCGCAGCGCTCAGACCCGCCAGAACGGAGCCGGAAACCAAAGCGTGACAGCCAGGGGTTGCTAGAGCGGCCGGCGCAGCGCAGCGAACCATCGAGTTCAGCCAGCCGCGGCTAGAAGGGCACGGAGGCGGTGGGAGGGGAGGGACGGAGGCCCGCGCTGCCCAAGAGCACCAGGGGCGGGGCGGGGCCGGCGTCGGGCTGCGGGCGCGGCCGGACGGGAGTTCCCCGGAGAAGGAGCCTGCAGCCCGAGTCCCGGTGAGTGCGAGAGGACCCGCGCCCCCTGCCCACGACTAGGGGTCCTGCCAACCTGTCACCCCTCACTTCTCCTGAGTTCCAAGTAAGGAACGGAGCCAACCCTGGGGAGGACCCCCAGTCCCCTCCCCCAGCGTATACGGATCCTGAACCTCCCCACTTCCCCCAACTCTATTCGCGGATAGGGTCTAGTTGCCTACTCTCGGACATCCGTTCAGGAGACACTACCTCTTAGTAGACACTACCTGCCTCCCCTGACCCCCCTTTACCTCGCGCCTAGAGGACACAGCCGGGCATCATCCCGCAGCCACAAACTCCTTCACAGACCCCCAATAGCCGGGGACGCAGCTCAGGCCCCTTACCCCCAACACAAACACTTCTCTCCTGTGGAGGATAAAGCTTGGGATTCATCCTCCTTCCCTGGATCACCCCACAGTCCTCAGGCTACCCTAATCCAGGGGACTCGGCGCCGGGACGCTGCTATGGACGACATTTTCACTCAGTGCCGGGAGGGCAACGCAGTCGCCGTTCGCCTGTGGCTGGACAACACGGAGAACGATCTCAACCAGGGGTGAGCTGAAGCGGTTGGTGGATGAGAGGAAGGCTAGATATCTCTTGGCTACGTGGAGTGGAGTGCTCATGTCTGGTGGGGGCGGCTGCCTTTGCTAGCCAGTGTAATGAGTGCTAAGCACAGCCTGTGGGGGGCAGAGGGTCTTCACAGAGGACGCAGTTTGAGCTGAATCTTGACTGCTGAATGAGAGTTTCACAGGCAGAGGCTGCAGAGAGCTTTCCAGCCTCAGTAAACTGCATGGGCAAAGACTAGGAGGCAAGGCACAGAGCAGAGAGAACAGGAAATTGTCTGGAGTTCCATATAGCTGGAGGATAGATGATCTCTGTGGGTCGGAGCATTGGGTACAAGAGGAGAAGAACAGGACATAAGACTGTAGAGGTCTGCAAGGATCAGCCAGATCATGCAAGCATATTTAGGCTATAAGAAGGTCTTTATTTTAAAAGCAAGGTTTTAAAGCTGTGTAGTGACATAATGAGATTGTCCATTTTTCAGTATCATCTTGGATGCTTTGTGAAGAGCAGGTGGAAAGGAGGCAGTTGCCTAGTTCATCGTAGAAGTAATGATGTCTTGGACTAGAATTAGGGTGAGTGAAAAAGAGAAGTGATCAAATTCCAGAAGTCTTTAGGACAAAGAATTGTGGAACTTGGTGGGGAGTGAGTAAGGGCAAAGATGAGGACCAGGGTTCTGGCTTGGGAACTTGGATAGATGGTGGCTGTTTTTACTGAGATGGAGAAAACTGGAGGATGAGGCATTCTATTTTGGACGTGTTAAAGTTAAGGTGACAATGCAGCAAGGTAGAAATGTTGAGTGTGTTGTTGGTTACGCAGATTTGCAATTCAGGAGAGGAATCTGACTTGGAGATAACAGATTTGAGAGCTATCAGCATATAGATGATACTTGAAGCCATGGGTGTGAAGGAGAATGTCTCAGGAGAGTGGAAGGCAAGAGGTCAGGAGACAGGAAGCCTGCACGACTGAAAAGGAGCAGCTGTAAGTTGAAAAAGAAATAGGAAAATGTGTCAGTAAAGCTTAGAGAATGTTTTAATGAAGGGGAGGTGGTCAACAGCAGTTCAGGCTACTGAGAGATCAAAGAACATTAATATTTTAAAGTAGCCATTGAATTTACAATTGGGATTTTTTTTTTAGGTTCAGGGGTACATGTGCAGGTTTGTTATATGGATAAACTCGTGTCATGGAGATTTGTTGTACAGATCATTTCATCACCCAGGTATTAAGCCATAGTACCTATTAGTTGTTTTTCCTGATCCTCTGCCTCTTCCTATCCACCCCACTCTCGTAGGCCCCAGCGTCTGTTGTTCCCCTCAATGTGCAGTTAGGATGTATTTGATGATCTGTGAGTATTGTTTCAGAATAATGGGTGAAGAAATCAGACTACACTGGGTTCCTTCATTTAAGAAACTATGATGAACACCTTCTGTGCTGGGTGCTAGAGTCCAGAATCTGACATAATCTCTGCTCTCAAGACAGCAGATTTGTGGCAGATTGAAAAGTAGACCAGTTGCGGTGGCTCATGCCTGTAATCCCAGCACTTTGGGAGGCCGAGGTGGGTGGATCACAAGGTCAGGAGTTCGAGACCAGCCTGACCAACATATTGAAACCCTGTCTCTACTAAAAATACAAAAATTAGCTAGGTGTGGTGGTGTGCGCCTGTAATCCCAGCTACTTGGGAGGCTAAGCCAGGAGAATCGCTTGAACCTGGAAGCAGAGGCTGCAGTGAGCCAAGATCGTGCCACTGCACTCCAGCCTGGGCCACAGAGCAAGACTGTCTCAAAAAAAAAAAAAAAAAAGAAAAGTTGAGAGGTAAGCAAATAGTGAAAGGGAATGTAGACCAGTTCTACAAGGTTGGCTGAGATAGGAAGGCAAGAAGAGCAGTAATGATGGTGACTCAGGGTGGCAGATTCAAATTCTTTATTTTTTAAGATTGGTAGGGTTTAGTTTTTAGGTTTGACAAGTCAGGATCACCTGTCATCTTAGTCTAGACTTCACTGGTTCCCATTAGGTTCTACACTATTTATCTTTAATACTTTGCAAAGTCATTTGTTCCATTTTTCACATAATTCTCAAAGGGTACCCTGATAAAGACAGAAAGCACTGTTACTATTTTGTTGATGAGGAAATACAGGCTTAGGCAGTTGTCCAGTTGACCTAGCATCTAGGAAGACTCTAGGAAGATGTTGCCAGAAGGAAAAGGGGTGGCATTAATGAAACTGGATGGTTGTGGTGCTGGTTTGAGGGGTAAAGTATGGGGGCCTAAGTTGGCTGTATGCTGGATATGAAGAAGGGGTTAATTCCTAGCAGGATTCCTTGTGATAAAAGTCCAGGCCCTGAGGTGGCAGGCAGCTTGATAGTGAACAGAACCCTTGTGCCCATACTTTTGCCCTCAGAGTTTGGCCTGCCCAGTACTGGAAGCTGATAAGTCAGGGCACAAATTAAAGGTCTAGGAGGCAAGACCAGCTGATAAACAGTGGGTGTAATGCTTCCTGGGGATATCCCACCTCTAGGGAAAGCTTTTGGCTATTTCTGTGTTAGCAGATGCCAGCAAGTTGTGGAGGAAAATGATTAAGTAAAAGGCCACACCCCCAACCCCTTCAGCTGTAGGGGCATCTGGATGGCCAGACCCCTGATCACTCCAGGCCTTGCCTAGAGTCGCACACAGGAAGTGACCACAGCACTAAGGCATCCGGAGGCTGCTGGCCCAGACCACGGACCGCCCCCTGCTCCACCCCTTGAATCTGCAGCCCGAACTAGAGGGGATTTCCTTTTATGGCCCCAGGCTGTCAGGCAGGCTCAGCTCCAAACCAATTGTTTTGTTTTGTTTGTATACTTATTTTACTTTATAAAATACATATCTCTTGGAAAAGAAAAAAATAAGGTATCGTTTTCATCCCAAAACAGCCATTCTCATTTTCTTCTGTTTTCTGTGCACAGGATTGCTAAGTAGGGGAATCCTGCTTTGCATGGTGGTTTGTTATCTACCTCATCAGTAGTCAAAAGGATTTCTCCTTTTCAATATAAACCCTTCCAAAACATCATTTAAATTCCATTCCATTTTTAGATGTTAGTTTCAGTACCAGAGGCAAATAGTAAGTTTGTTCCCTCTCTTATAAGTTGTGGCCTGCTTTGTCCAAGACACCCTTCTTCCCCACTAACATGCACCGAACAGCTGCTGTCAATCCATTCCCTCACAAAACTTAAAATCTAACAGACAAGACAGTCCACTAACAGATTTTTACAATCCAGTGCGACAAGTGCTGAAGTAGGGGGATATATAAGATGTGGTGGAAAACAGAAAGAACCAATAGATGTTGCAGAAGGGGTGCAGGAGAAACCAGGGGAAGAGCGCTACCACCTAATGAAATGAGATGTGGGATATGGTGAAGATAACAAAATTTTTTATAGAGGTCGTTGAGGTATGTAGGTGGTCGGTTTGGTTTGAAGCTCAAGGGAAGGTCCAAAATGGACAGTTTTGGGAGTTGCTGGCATGAATGAGAATCAAAGTCCTAGAGAGGTAAGCCTTCCCAGAGAGTATGTAATTATCAGTTTTTCAGGAATCAAAACCTTTGCCCCATCCCACCTCCAGCTCAATGACCATTGCCCCTTCCTCAAAGGGACGATCATGGCTTCTCCCCCTTGCACTGGGCCTGCCGAGAGGGCCGCTCTGCTGTGGTTGAGATGTTGATCATGCGGGGGGCACGGATCAATGTAATGAACCGTGGGGATGACACCCCCCTGCATCTGGCAGCCAGTCATGGACACCGTGATATTGTACAGAAGGTACGTACAAACCCTTTCATCATCCACATCACATACATGCCATGAGGGTCAGTCACAGGCACTGTAACATACAGCAGAAAGTATGTGTACTCTTCCCCCTTTTCCCGTGCCCTGACACCAGTATCTCATTTGAGGCTGACTGTACCTTCTGCCTCTTTTTGTCTGGCCATGGGGTCCAGCTATTGCAGTACAAGGCAGACATCAATGCAGTGAATGAACATGGGAATGTGCCCCTGCACTATGCCTGTTTTTGGGGACAAGACCAAGTGGCAGAGGTGAGTACTCAGCCCTCAAGTCCTGAGATGGGTAGGAAGTAAAGTCAGCCTGGGTGGGAGATTTTGGAACCCTCAACCCATTCTGTCAGCACTACTGTGTGACACTCACAGGATTAAGTACTACATTTGTGCATTCATGGTTGGTTCATTGACTGCCAGTGAGGCAGCAGTGGCTCTCATCATAAT